GGCGATTCCCGATAGAGCTCCCACTGACAGCTGCAAATAGAAGGCCACATCTACGCTTAAGCTACTTAGAACAATCCTTGGTGTCAGCGAGTCCTGCCCTAGCCTGTCTACGAGGTGGCTGTATTGGGGAAGCGTCCAGTGAGTCTACCAAGGTCTGTCTACGAGGTGGCTGCTACCAGGTGGCTGCACTGGGGAGCGTCCAGCGTGTCCTGCCATGGTCTGTCTACGAGGTGGCTGCAATGGGGAAGCGTCCAGCGGGTCCTGCTTCCAGTATGCTCTGTATACGAGGTGGCTTCATTGGGGAAGCGTCCAGCGAGTCATGCCATGGTCTGTCTACGAGGTGGCTGCATTGCTGAAGCGTCAAAGGCATGTGGTGTTTCACTGAGATGGAAAACTCTTAAAGGTAACCCGTGTTATTGCGGAGTGAAATAGACTAAAAACTTTTTACAGTTGCAGTCTTTGCCATATACTTTTCTCCTTACTGGCCATTCGAACCTCAACTTTCCTAAAAACTACGGGTCTGAGTCGGGATTCACTGGTCCGAATACAAATTTTAATAAAACTGGACTGGATTACATTTTTTTATTATTATTTACAAGACCTTGACATTTTTAGAATTGGGATGTAACAGTTACATTGAAAATTAAATCAAATCAAGCTCTTTTGAAAACTTAAAAAAAATCTTATGGCCAAATAATCAATTTAAACATTCTGACAAATCTACATGTCCGAACAATTAGAAATTCAGTCACTGATTACACAGAAAATAGACATATTGATACAACAAAGGGTTGGTAATTCAATAAACAGTCTTAATAATAATAAGAAGGTATTACCGTTTTAGAGAATAAAAGAAATGGAGATGAGACCCTAGAGAACCGCAGCGTGAAAACAAAGCGGCTGGACAGCAAGAAGTGCAATGACCTGATAGTGCTGGGTTTGCCTTGGAAGAGCACAGTTTGGTGAAATCGTCATGGCTCAGGTACTCATTGCTTCTCATTAAGATTACTGATATTGGTTTCATGAAAAAAGTTTCTTTAAAGTTAGTCTTTAATTTTTACCAAAAGGATTAAAATGGAGCAGTCCAGAGTTATTCCTGGTATCAAACGATTGCAATTTCATTCTTCTAATAAAACTAATTACTATTTTAAGTGAACTGCTTATGCCGAAGACTGCTTTAAATACACAATTTATGGAAATTAAACAAACTAGGTAGAGTTCACTTTTGTTCGTGCCTTGAAATGAAGTAAAGTCAGATAGATAGAAAGCAAGCTTCTACTCATAATTCTTAAAAACTAATTTATGCTAAAAGTTCATTTATATTTTGAGGTGAGATAAGTTGATAGCATTGTTAAGGCCCTAAATTTCAAGGAAATTCATTTAGCAGACATTTTAGAATCCAAAAGCTCTTTCAATTTGTCACAAACTTGAAAAATAAGTCATGCAAAAAACTCATTTTAGTGGTCAAAAGCTTTAAATTTGTCACAAACTTGCAAAAAAAAAAAAAGAAAGAAATCACTAATGCAAAATATTTTGAGATCCTATCGGCCAACTTTCAGATCTTCATCAGTTACAATGCGATATAAGTTGCGTTGTCACCAGTCTAGAATACAAGGAGCTACTACCCCCAAACCTCGCCCCAAGTGCTGCCGTTGTGGTACTAAGAGACCATCGTACAGGTGAGCATGTATTTTCATCTGTTTATATTGTTCAGATCGTAAGGCGTTTTCGTGATTCATCATATTCCTTCCTTTATCCCTCTCATTTTCTAGTCACTTTCTTTTTGTAGAATAATAGCATTATCTTAATCATAATGTGGTTTTCTTGTGTTGTTATAGAAATAAAATAAAATAAAATAAAATAATAGTTGTGACAAGAACCAAAGTATTATGAAACATCAAAATATCAGAATTAACGTTATGAATTACCAATGACATACATGTTCTTTGTTGCAATTATTGCAAGCTTTCAGTTACTTTCATACTTTTGTGTGAACGTGTTACTTTTCATTTGTAGGTTACGAAAGGGCAGTTTTCCAGAAATAATGCCCGAACGCAGATACCATCAATCCTAGCCCAATTGTCCAAGATGCGAAACACTTAATGGCGCTTGCAACGAGCACCTGTAGCCTCTTTCATTGATGATCGGACGTCCTAGCAGTCTTGGTTTTTAAGGACACGGCTTGTCTGCGAAAAAATTTAGAGAATGTGGAATGGTAAAGAAGAGCGATTTATTGAATATAAGAAGAATGCAATCTAATAATGTACTCAAGTCTTTTATGTATTGAGAATATTTGCGCTTCATGGATCACAAATATGAGTCGGGTGTAATTTATTTAGTAAGTTTTTTTTTACTTATGACAGTGAAACATTTTATTCCAATAGCTTAAGAGAAAACTGAAGTTCAGTATGATCATTCATAATTCCATAAATGCTCAATTGAATAAGATGAATTGTGGTTCTGTGTGAAATTTTTTTCTGCCTCAACAGTTGTTATCAAAATTTAAAATAGAATATCCAGTTGCTTTATCCACATTCTAAATGAAGATAGGTTTTCGCTCGCAAAGCATTGGTATTACCACCACTTGTAGTCGTCTGTGTTTTATTTCAATATTAGTGATGTAGTCATTTTTCATATTTGTGCTTTTGGTGATGTGGAGTTGTTCGTCAGTATAGCGTTTGAGAAGATCATAATCCGCACACTTACCTCAACTAACCCTCACATCTTTGTAAAATCCGACTTGATGTAAATGCTTTTACATGAACGGGTTTTACATTGATGGGGTGTGCAAAATCTATAATGTAATATTTTACGTTTGAGAAAGTATTTCATTATAATTTTTGTACACAGCTCCTCGTGAGGGATGGCTGGGTGCACACAGTTGTCTCTCAAGATTGAGGATCGCACATTACTAATATTACTAATATTATGATTTTCTCAAGTGTTATAGTTGACAAATATATCCAGTTCATCATACATGCACCTTTTTTCTCCGGACCTAAAAAATTCATATTGAAATTTTCATGGACGGTCATACAGTGTGATGTGGAATATGAAATATGTCAAAGCAAGCTTGCTTTATTCTTTTCTTGTATCATACAGTTGTGATTTCAGGGCAAAATTACATTTGAGAAATTTCTATTCAGTAATATGTCATTGATGTGTCTGGATAATAATCATATTACCTAAACTTTTATATATTTTATCATGAGAGAGAACTATATCCAAGTTTTGATGTATGCTTTCAGTTGTAAAAGGATCGAGTTACTTCATTTATGACTTCATCCCCTAGATGAAGTTAAAATAAGCCTCAGTTTGTGTTAAGACTAGTAAATGTCTCAATTGTCTTCAGTACCGCTTTCAGTAAGAATTACGTGTTCTTTGGTAAATTCTTGTGCTTCATCTTGTGTACCAGTATAGTGTATGTAGAGAATAGTTTGAAGCCACGAGAAAGTTGATTCAGTTGCACCATGCTGTCTGAAACGGGGCGATATTTATGAACTGTATGGCGCCGTACTAGTAAAAAAAAACTGAAGTTATGACCTTAAAAAGGTTGAAGTATCCGGGCGTGGGCACTTTCCCGGCATTCCCCACGAAGGGTTTAGACGGTTTTTCCCCACGGTCCGAGGGCATCGGGTACTACCATTTATTGATTAATTGCGTTTACATCATTCATTAATGATTACTGAAGTACTTTCGAAATTTAATGTTACTGTATATAATAGTTGAATAAAACTATATTCTCTAATTTTTCTTTTTGTTAAAAAAACGGAAGGCGTGCACAGATGGAAAAATAATCACCCGACTTGCAAATTCATTTTAATGGTGTTGCATGCCTGTGCACGAGGCTCGGTTACTTAGTCGAAATTATCTTTTCAAATGCCCCATCTCACTTAAACTTAATATAAGATTGGGGATTATTGTCACGTAGATTTCTTCCATAAAACTAGGCAATGTCCAGGTAATAAAATTGATTTTTGGTTTTGGAAAGAAGACTGCGGTGCTGCGTAACTTTTTCTCCGGGCATAACTAGAGCCCTTAGAATCGACTATCTTACATAATAAATATATCCCGCTGTAGATGTAATAACTCAACACCTCGATGTTAGTGAAGGGATATATATATATATATATATATATATATATATATATATATATATATATATATATATATGGGCGGATCCAGGATTTCCTAGATGCCGACCCCCGGTCCCCTTGGCGTGGGGTAAGGGGACCACACAAGGGCCCCGAAAAAATTGGAAATTTTGGTATTTTGGAAAACAAACGGTGCCACTTGGTACGGTTTAGAACTATGATTCAGCTAGTCAAATTTCTAACTTCAAAGGGGGAATATAAGCGTGGGGTTTTGCACTTGAAAACAATTTATGGAAAAATCTAGCTTTACGTGCTGGGTTAGGTGAATTTAAATGAGAAATGGAACCAACGGTTACTGGTTTCTTTTTGGTGCATTACGCCGTTTAAACTTTACTAACTTTGAGAGCGTTTATTATTGGCGGGCAAACCCATCAGTGCAACTTTCACCCATGGACCATGTTTACCCTATAGGTAAATATCCAAATGATGGACCATTGGCATTAGTGTCAATTTTTTCCCGATAATCTACTAACCGTAAACTTAATGGTCGACTCCATATAAACGATGTATCAGAAAACAGCAAAGATTTGGTGCTGAACTCATAACACAGCTATAGCTTCTTTTAAGCAGTTTTCATTACGTCACTCATGGAGATGGAGAAAAAGAAACCTTAATATTTTCTTTAAGGTGTAACAATCATTGGCCTTAACAAGCCTCAAGTGTGCAAACCAGCAGAATTTTGGGCAACGTTGGTAAATACTTCGTGTTGTAGGGATTTTCTGGTGCATTAAAGCCTTCACCGAGTCAGAATGCTGACATAATTCGATGTCCAGTGGTAACAAACCGACTAAGCCAAAGAATTATTTAAGCTTCCTTTAAACAGAAAAACAACGAAAATATTTTTTCCATACACAATTCTTTAATAGTCTTTTTTTCTTTTTTTTTACAACACTTGATTCACTTCACTTTGTTATTAATTTATTCATCCTTCACAACAGTTCCTTTCTCTGAAACATAGATACCATCCAAAAACTTCCTGATATCCTTGTTTTTCACTTTTGTGGACTGCTGGATCAAGGCAGCTGAAAAGAAAGAAATAAAATATAAATTATCTTATATCTTATGATATTATTTATGCAAAAATAAAATCCTTCACATTTTAGTAGTTTCGTTATTTACTATCTTTTTAATGGGGAAATTGTAACTTTTACAGAAATTGGTTTTATTTTAGTCCTAAATTTTTAAAATAGACAATTCTTACTGAATAGTAGCAACAGGTTTCAAAAGTAATCTACCTGATAGTTTTATTCCAAACAGAAAAGGCACCACAACTGCTATTCAATGATTCTTAATTTGTGTACATATACATATGAAAATTTGATTCTTCTTCCCAGTTGAAACAAACAAGTCCCCTATATCCCCTACAGAGATTTTTTTCAGTTACATATAAAATTAATTTAAATAGTAACTTTCTATCAATACTTGTAACCTAGGATAACATTTTCCTCAGACAAAACACACTACTGAAGCAGTGGTAATGTACAATCAGAACCAGAAAAAAAAAAACATAACTTCAAGCTAATTACACATAAATCATAGCATCCCTTCACCACTCAATCATACTATCTCCGATATGACACCTTGTATTCTGGTTTAAACCTTACCTGATCTTGAGACCAATTCAATGTCATTCCCTTCCAGAATAAACTCGTCTTTCTGCGCCGAGGAGGCAGTGCATATCACGCCTGGCTGCATAGCGACAGCTCGGATATATTTCTCACCCAAGAAGTTACGAATCTCCACATTCTTGCCTCCATTTAGGATGCTGATGTTGATGGGGAAATGAGCATACACAGACCTCATCTTGTACTGGAAACCCTGCGGAAGAAAACACAACTTGTCCTTAAAAGTAAACATCCTTTACATATCCGATATTTTAATTTCTATAGCATCAAATGGTTCCCAAAATTATTCATAAGAGCATTGCCAGAAAATAAATACAGAAATTATGTATTTCAATCTGATAATGCTTTACTGAAAATGTTTGTTTATATTTTTGTTTATATACCATCATATAATCTGACACCGACACATTTGTACCCAATTAATCCTCAACTTTACCTGTATCTTTATAAAGTATGACAGTAACTGACCAAGCATAATTAAAACAAGGATAAAATGAATAATAAATAATAAACCCCATTTAGAAGTATTAATATCTTAAAAATGCATTTGAAGCAGACTTTTGCCATAAAACCTTACCAAATACCACTTTACAGTTTCAAAAAGGATAACTTGGTGTAGCAGTGCACAGCCTTCGCTTGTGTGTCGCGAGCAAAGGTACAGGGGGGAGTAGAACATATGTTTGCCAAAAAAGCTGTGAATAAACTGAAATCTAAATGTCAAGCCCACTGTTGCAGACAGTTACACAGAACATGTTCTACATATAGGGTTCTATATATAGGGTGCACTCTGCCTGTTAAGGTGTGACTACTTACTTTAGTGACTCCCTTGATCATGTTGAGAATGTGGGAGCAGACTGTGGTGACTGCTGCCAGCTCCTTGCGGGTACCAAAGTACTTGTCAATACGTAGGAGGGACTTGCTGACCAGTTTCATGTCCACTGCCAAATGGCGAAAGTCACGACGCAGGGTGCCACGCGGTCCTTTCACCATTACCTTGCAGGAGTGGACCTTAACCTCCACTAGAATACAAGACATGGCACCATTGAATTGCTTATCATTCTTGTAAATCAAGAGCCAACTTTTGAAGAAACACCCATCCACAAACTACGCAAAAATAGCTCGACTGGTATGTGTTCAGATGTTATTATGGTGGGTTTGGGAAGTGTTAAAGTATTGATAAGGACACATTAACCATTACTGTTCTAAACAATGTTATTACTTACCATTATCTGGGATTTTGACAAACTGGCCTGAAACCAACGTCTTCATGGTTTAGGCTGCAACGAAGAATTGATTTTGATTGAGTCAATTGCAAAAAGTTTTCAATGCTGAGATCTGAAAATTACATTTTCGCAGCTAAGATTAAGTTAAATACTTTGCACGAAAAGATCTCAAACTGGGGGAGGGGGGGAGGGGGGAGTCATGCACGAGTCCGTCCCTTTAGTGAGCTAAAGTTCTGTACTGGCAATACCTCGAAATGTGCATTTAAGATCAAAAATACCAACCACATAGTTCAAAAATCAAAGAAAAACAAAATGAGAAGTAAAGAAATAATGATCCTCTCTACATAATCGTTTTATCACGCAAACATGTTCAACTATGTGGCCATAGAAGGATGACGGCCTTACTGTTGTCGTTCATGGCACATTGAGACTGTTTTACCTCCTTTTCCTTCATAAATTTCACACAACCATCGATAGGAAAGAATTTCTTTTGCTTATGACTTATAACATAGAAAAAAATTAGGCAGATGAAGACGACAAAGGATTGATTTCGGTGGATTTGTTTTACTCAGTTCACGAAAGTTTCCCACCTGAAGTATGGCCGACGGAAAAGGAAATTCATGGGCATTGTGGGAAGAATTGTACTTCTACGTAGCCATTGGTACACGTTGAAAGCAGCCGCTAAATTATACTTCTGTGGTAAGTTATATCGTCAACGGAGATCGTGAGTAATTTAAATTAGTTTTTAGAACCTTGTAAATATATTTATATCTAGAAAATCTGTTAAACGCATAAATAGGCTCCGAATAACCAAGTAAACAGGAAAAAATGGTATACCCTGCTGTCAGTGTCAGTCTTGTCAAACTACACATAAAAAATTCTGAAGTAGGCGCGACCGTTGTTGCCTTGATTATAAGTTAACCAAATTAAGAATTTTTACTGTGGTAATTGATTTTTTAGTTTATTAATTTTAGTCCCGTGATAGTCACTTTATCACTAGCACTACTTCCAAAATGATTTGCAGATGGTAGATAATATTATTAATTATATAAAGTCGTAATATATACATGTATTATTATACCAGGTGGATTAAATAGATGTTTACTAGTATTCAGAACTATCAGCAACCCGTTTAAGATCATACCGTACCTTTATATGAGAAAAGGGATAAATGAGTTCCAGGAGCTTCCTTCCCCTCCCCCCCCCCCCTCCCCCCCTTCCAATCATGTTTGATACTCTGGTTGAGTTTTTTCCAGTTACTAATTTACACCAGTAATAGGTCAAAATTTATTGTTAGGTTATTGCAATGCAGCAATGCATGAGATACAACAGGGTCTCACTTTGCCTTGCTTTCTGCTGATTTTGATAGTAAAACTGCCTCACACTGAACGCAGCTTTTTTTAAATGTTCCAGCTCTTACCAAGATGTCAGGGTTTGGCCAGGCAGATGATGGCTTCTTCCAAGCTGACTACTCTGGTTATGATCAGCAGCAGACTTCTGGCTATGATATGGGAGACATGCCGCCAGAGCAGTGAGTATAAAGCTGTCATAAGTGGAGCCTCAACCTGAGCTGTACAGTATCATACCACTGATACTCTGCATTGTTAAGGCTTAGTAGAGTAGTGGTATAATACCATCGATGCCCAGTATAAAAGGCCTGGTAGAGTGGTCGTATAATACCATTGCTTCTATCAGGGGCAGGTCCAGAGATATTTCTGATATTTTGTCTTCCCAATTATCTTTGTTAATCCATCCTCCATTTTTGACCATCTTCCCACTGAAAAAATAACATGCCTTTCAGTGTAAATTTGAAAAATTCTGACACTCTTCTGGGAGACCCAGAAGATGGCCTTCATCTGCCCCTGTCTTAGGCTTAGTAGAGTAGCAGGGGCGGATCCAGAGCTATTTACTGACAGTCTTCCAAATCATCTTTGTTGATTCATCCTCCAATTTTGACCGTCTTCCAACAGAAAAAATTAGATACCCGTCAATGTAAACTTGAAAATCTGACCGTCTTCCGGAAGACCCAGAAGACGGCCTAAATGCATCCCTGAGTAGTGGTTTAAAACTGCTGATGTTCTCCAAAAAGCCTAGTAAAGTGATGGTATAAAACTGTGATATTCTGTGTAAGACCTAGTGAAGTAGTGGTATAATACCATTGATACTCTGTGTAAGACTAAGAAGAGTATAGTCATTTAATGCATTCATTCTGAATGATTGTTAATATCAAGTTCAGCAGTAGAGGTATTTTACTTGAATCATTCAATATATTGGTTTAATTTAAATATAATAGACTTATTTAGGGAATTTTAAACATTGTTACAAGTTCATTCTCATGTCAGTGCAAGTGTCATTCATACCTTTAGGCATCATTTAGGAATAAAGATAACTTCCATTTCTGTACAGAAATACTATTACAAGTGTATCATGTAATTCAAATTGAAACCCCCGTACATATAATTGTATTGTTGCATTCTTACACTTTATTTCAGACAATTTGGTCAGTTTGACTACTCAGGCTATGGTCAGCAGGGTGGCCAGTACCCAGGGGTCAGTTCCCCCCAGGGTCAGTACATGGGCTCCATACTGACCCCTGATCCTGCAGCCTCTTTCACAGCTCCAGGGGGACCCGAGGACTATGAGAATGAACCTCCTTTGTTAGAAGGTAGGGGGAACATTCAGACACTTACCAATTCTATGCATTAATCATGATGTCTATTTTTTAATTATTTCAATATATCAATTCAAAATGTTTTCAAGTGTAATTTCTTATAGATTTATATATTTTGAGTACTGTCATATTGGTAACCCTTAACATTTTCATTCATACATGCAGGAATGAACACGTAAAAATGCGTGCACATACTTACATGCTTGTATTCCCCACATTCATTTGTGTATGCACGCACGCATGCAAGTTTGCACACGCAAACACACAGACAAACGCTTACGCAGACACACACTAGATCAAGTATGAATGTAGACTGAACGTAATATTGGAGTGCTGATTTCTGATTTTCTTCAAGGGAAGCACAAGTTCCTGTACATGAAAAACCATGTAAATTCAGTTAGTTGTAGCTTTTTAATTGAGTTTTTGTAATTGGGTAACTAGTTTTTCTATATGACAAATTAATTGAACTTTTTTACCCCTTCAGAGCTTGGACTAAACTTTGATCACATTGTGCAGAAGGTAAGTCACATCTTGTGATTGTGTTAGTTGTGCCATGATTGCATCGCTCACAATTTGAAGTACAGCTCATTGTGTCAAGCTCACCTGACGCATCTGTTCTGTTTTCGTCACTTGTAGATTTTTACAATACATTTTATTGCATTGCAGACCTGCATGTTTGCATTTGATTTGATTATCAATTTCAAATTAAAAACTCTGCTTTACATTATATTTTAATTTATTAAAAGATCCAGTTGCTTGAGCATAGAAGTATTGCCACATGCATAAAATTAACTTTTGTAAATGTGATGTTGGTATACAGTGTGGAAATGCCATATTTGCTGAACTACGAGTATAGCTTAAGTTATGAATTATATAAGCTTTAAAAATATCCACTTATAACAAATTTTTATAAAATTATTTACAACACAATATTACACACTGGATAAAAATTTCTTTTTGTATTCTTAAACAAAATGCAAAGCAAAACAGTTCAAAATCCATATGCCTTGCACTGTTGTAAATGATATAAAATGTGATACATTGAAATACTATTTGCACTTAATTAAATTGGTTTAACACCTGGATCTTAATTTACATGAGATATCTATTTCATACATAAATCAAATTATTAGCAAACTCATGTGATAAGCCTCACTCAATACTGGGAAAGGTATATTTTCTGCCCTTCTACATATGGTTTGTTATGCCTTTTAGTCAATAAAATCAGCAAAATAACTGAAACTTAAATTGTATGATTGAAGATCATGGAAGGGTAAAATACAGTTTTTGTTTTCTGCATGGCATGAGAGTTTTATTTTATCTGTGAATGGCCATGAAGATAACCCCTAAAAGATGAATAAATTCAGAATTTTCTGAAATTCCCCTTTGTCTATTTCCATGGAGGCAGAAATCACTTTAAAACATGGAACACTGTCAGAAGATATTACCATTCCTTTCATTAGCCCTCCCTGTGCAAATTGCACCAGAGCGCTGAAGACCATCAACATGGGAAGCAGAAGCCCCAAGAGAATGATTTAGGACAATTAAATCAGCCAACTCTTCTTGTTATTATCCCCAGGAAAGTGATTACTTTTTGTGGAGGGTTTTACCAATTATATAATTTAGAAGATATATATATGCATTATCTTTTGTGTCTCTGCACAGTCATCTCGTAGGGACTTCAGCATATATTGCGATGTAATATTTTTCTTGTGTGTGTTCATCAGTGTTAAAGTTTTATGACATATTGTGCATGATAATATTAATTTGAACAATATCTGTTGCTGTCATGATATATTGTGAAACATCTCAAAATATGTAACTGATATGTGGAAAATTACAGACATTGTTTTCATTGTTCATACACATCACTTTGTCTGGTCATTCCATTAAAACTAAAACAATTAAACAATATCACGTACATGTGTTCAGAGAACTCATTTTCTGCTAATTTAATACCTGTGACAATGATGTAATATGATAGATTTTTTTTGCATGAAAGTAAAGTAATTGTTCACAGATTTTATACTTAGTAAAATATTTTATTATTATTTATGATAGATAATTTTGGGTCACTCACAAAAACATATACCATTGGATTTACTCCTTTTTCAGAATGTGGATCATCTTTTTGGGGTGTCTACAGGACTGAAGTCATTTATTTTAAAAATGGGGTGGGGGGTCTTTATTCTGAAAAAGAGGACCTTTTTTCCACTAACTGAGAAATGGAATAGAACCTACAAATAATTTATATTTAGAGCAGACCTTTTCGCGACCAAAACCTCCCCACCCACACACACACACACACACACACACACACACACACACCTGGACCTTTGTTAACAAAGCTTTGTTTTAGGAATTATGATTTATTATTGCTCCATGAAATAAGTAGGAAATTATGGTGAAAACCATTTGCTTAATGCCATAATGATTTATGCAGCACATATCATTTTTATTGTTAGAGCATCATTATAGTAATTGCTCCTCCGTGTTTTTGCAAGGCAGGTCTAAAACATTTAGTTAAAATGATGTGTCTGATATCTAGCAAGCACTTGTCAACCTTAGTCCTGCAATTTACTCTATATCAGTGTTTCTACTTGAGCAGTTCAGCTTGGAAGCCTACATATCAGTCATGACTTGTCTCTAATCTAAGAATAAGCAATTAACAATTATCATTTTAGCTTGCATAGCGCATACTTATATTTATAATGCATTGTAAAAACTCTAAGCTGTAGCAGAAAAGCATTAATCAGCTTTTTGCCTTTATCATTATTGGAAATGTTCTTCAATTAGGGAATATGTATAAAAGAACTTCTCAAAATGGCATTATACAATTTACATTGCAGTAAAACAAAAGATTATGATAATGCATGAGATTCAGTTTTAAAAAGTTGCTGGGCTAACAATAGGATACAGATTTTTGTCAGTGCTAAAAACCAATAGTTGGTAGCTAACCGAAATGAAATATTTTTCATCAATTTTCATCTATAAATCATAAATCATTTTAAGTAAGCTCAGAAATTCAACATGTCTAGAATATTTTAGCAATTTTACTGAAACAAAGAAAAAAATGTCTGTTGTGAGACCAGGAGATAACATTTATACAGCAGTTCCCACTCCATGTGGATCCCCCATATCATGATGACTGGACGACTTTGAAGACTTTGAGGAGACAGTGTCTCTGGACTGAGAGTCTGACTGAGTCAAGCCATTCAAGTCTACATACAGTCTAGGTGGCTTCTTTGGGGGCAGGGGGCAGCTCTCAGTAGGTGTGGTTGGAGATTGGGCGTAGGGAGTTTGGTCTGAGGACTGTCTTGGGAAAGGGCTCCTTCTAGTGTTTGGTCCATGTTCACCTAGTGGCAGAACAGGACCTGGCAGAGGGCTCCCTCTTTGTAGAGAGCCTTGTCTTTGCTTAATGTCATATACTTGTGGACCAGGTAGAGGACTTCTTGCACCATTACTGATGTCACTTACAGGAGATAGTTTACCATCTCGAGACTTTTGTTTTGGCACAGCCCCCTTTTTTAATGAACCATCACTTCTGCTGGAAGGAATCTGCCCTTTACTACTGGAGCCCTGAGACGGGGCTGGGCTCTTACGGGGGCCTTCACTTACATTGGGTAGAGAAAAATACCCATGGTCAGAGCCTTGTGGAGGAATGGGGCTCCTATTCCTGGGAGCTCCCACCATGGGCCCCGGGCTCTGCTGGATACCATATACTGGAGCCAGAGCAGGGTCCAATAAATGAGCTGGAGGCAGGGGGAGGGGACCCCCAGGGACGTCAGGGTAATACCCTGGATCATTTGGCATATATCCTGGGAATCCATAATACTGTTCAGGAGGACCACCCTGGGGAACATAGTCCATGTGTGGGGGTAGATCCTGGGGGTTGATGTTATCTTCATTATACTGATAGTCTGGGTCCCTTAGTCTATAATACCCTGGTTCCTCAGGGTAGCTATGATCTACATGTAAGTCCTGTGGGTATAATTGATTGTCTGTAAGAGGGTAATAGTCTCCATTGCCAGGGTAAAAATGTTGGTCCTCATACTCATAAGGATCTTGGTAGTTTGCATGATCATGTGGGTAATAACCACGTTTATTTGTTGACCCCATAAAACCGAGCTCTCCTTCAGAAGTATACTCTTCAGGAATAGGATATGCTTGCTCCTTTAAAAGTTTGAGTTCTATAGGGTCAAGGTCACTTCTTCTCGTAGTCCCCGTCATTGAAGATCCACAGAGAGACTGAAGCTCGTGGTCCTCACCTCCACTGTGAGGCTTGCGGCCATTGCTGCTCCCATTACGTTTTCCATTCATGGTAGGTTTATTTGGAGAGACATCCTTGCTTCCTTTTGGGCAAAGACACCTTCGAGCACTATAAGCTAGAAGGGCAACGATCAATAAAAGTCCCAGGCACCCGGCAGTGGTAATACCGGCTATCATACCAACACCCATGATTACTCGATGAGAGTTGCTCTGAGCCTGGGCAGGAGGCGCCGCGTATACTTTAAGGTTAAACGTGGCTTCACTCTGTCCTGACAGGTTCTCAGCTAAGCACTTGTAGACCCCACTGTCATTTGAGTGGGCACTTTTGATATGAAGTGTGTTGGTGAGGTTGTATAATCCATTTTCTGTCACATTGTACCTGTTGCTAGTTGACTGAATTTCGGTCCCGTTCATAAACCAAGTGATTTTTGCCTTTGGATTGGCATATATGACACAGTCAAATGATACGGGACTGTTTTCATTTGTCACCTTAGATGAACCATTTGTGAGAACTTTGGTAGAGCATGCAAAATTATTTGCCTCTACATCTGACCAGAGTTGGTTTTTCAGTTTCAGTGGAGAGTCACACATAGGGACGTTAGTGCCAAACTCCCAGATTAAATCTGCGTGCACCAGCCAGTGTCTCAGCCATCGTAAATGACAGTCACAATTCCAGGGATTACCATAAATCCGCAAGATGTTAAAATTGTTTGTGAAACTTTGCTTGATTCTTGAGTCTAATCTAGCAAGGCTGTTGTGTGCTAGATTCAGCTCTGTGAAAGACACGCCCAACCCTGAGAATGCCTCAGGTGCCACATATGTTAACTTGCACTCAGCAAACGAAAGTTTTTCTAATCTGGGTAAAATCAGAGCATTGTTGTCAATTCTTGCAATGGCATTACCACCCAGATTGAGTTCTCGTAGCTTGTTAAGATTTTGAAAGGTGCCTTCTGGAATATATTTTAAGTCATTTCCTTCAAGGTCAATGAGAATGAGATTGCGTAGGCTGTGAAATGCATTCCGAGATATTCTTTTTATTCGATTATTTTCAAAATAAACCTCTTGTAAAGAAGGATATGCATCGAGATCATTGTTTCCAATAGATTCAAGTCTGTTATTTGTCACAAAAAGAAAGTGGATGCGATTCCCATTGGTCAAATTTTTTGGAATACTATGTAGATTTCGGCTTTGGCAGTGGGCTTGAAGATGAGACTTTTGGTAGATTACGTTGCAGTGGTTAGCAGCGTCCACTTGAGACAGGGAATCAATCAACAAGAGGAAGAGAAGTGGAAAGGTTACCCAAATCAATGGACCTAGGGGAGCCATCATCCTGGCGGCTTGGCACCGTGAAGACAGAGCTCTGGTGAAAATGTTATCAAGTTGGGCTCAGCTTGTAATCACATTAACTCCTGATAGCCACAGTTAAATTCTCCCCGTTGCTTGGTACACTGAACAGATGGTAATCAAGTAGTGTGCTTTTGGAAATTTCAGGAGATTTTCTTTGAAAAAAGTCAATTTACACTGATGTGTTTAGGGTATAAATTAAATCCAGGAAATGTTAGCAAACCCCTCAGATAAGTCAGCTGTTTAACAAGACGCTGGCAGACGCCAAAACAGTTTAGGTTTCACTTTTATGGTAATATCCTTTTCCTGGGCAAACCCAAGTGAATTAACAGCAAATGTTTGTATCAGGTACAGGAAGAGCACCAGGTGTTTTCTAGAATTTTTCCGTGTGTGTCACTGCAATGGCGAATGATTTCTTTGACTCAGATGTGCAGATCAATTACACAGTAGTATTATTGAGGAGCATCCAGTGCTTTGAGCAATGGTTTGTCTGGGTGGAAAAGCCTGAAGTTGCAGCCACGTAATAACTGTCAGCATGAATTATAAATGTCCAATTAATCTTGCTCCTTCAAATATGCAAGCACACTTATGGTAATCAAGCTGGCATCATCTCACCTGCGGGGCCAGGGGAGAAAAATTGACAAATTGCAGTGCACTTGGCAACAGTGTCCAGTTGGGAAATTAATTTTAAACGAAATCCGCTTGATTCAGTATCTTGAAGAGATAAAGGTTAGTTTAATACCTTGAATGATGACGAGTTTTGAAATGTCCAGATGGTCTGAATAATATTTCTGTCATAATTTACCAGCCGTCACTGTCTGAGAACATAAACGTCTAGAACTCCTTCGTCACATGTCTCTTCCAGCCTGGGGCTTGGATATCATATCCAGTTCAAATCACCCCTTTGTTTGGTCTATTAGCCTGATGTAAGTAGCAACTACACACTAAATTGGCTTGGTTTCCTCCACAGGAATCCTTAATGATCCTCCCTGTAGAATAAGTCTATCTCCTTTACAGAGTGGGTAAAAAAAATCCATAGAAATAATCTGCTGAAATGTGCAGCAAAGATTAGTGCTCAGATGTGGATGATTGTTTTTTAGCCCTCAGCAGAATATTGGACGTTTTTTATGGTAAAGTGAAAAACTTACTCCTTAATGAGGTGTGCTTGTCCAGTGGTTTCACTGCAGTTTTCAACCACAATTTATAAATGGTTCATTCATTAAAATTTTTGGTCCAAATCCAGATGAACAGACTTTTGAATTTTGTGGTAAGTTTTTGACGCCTCTAGGTATTTCCTCTTTTCTGAATTTGACCGCTGGCTGATACTGTGATCTTGCTGCGACCCGTGAAAATGATCCTGAGGACGTCGTTGATCACACTGGTTTTTTCACGTCATACTCTGAAAAGAAAAAGATTCATCACTTAAATAAATGATTAACCACATATTTTTAACACTAAAACCGCAATTTTTTTAACACCACTGAAAGTAGAGATCAATTTGCCTTACTGGCTTGTGTTCTTTGAGTGCTTTGATATCTATTTTTATCATAAAGCATGCTGTGAATTGTAAACAGTAATAGGATAGTAGAACCATAAATATCAATATTACTGCTTAAAACTGCGGTTGTAGGAATTGGCATTGACGTACATAGTTTATAGGTGTACCTAACAATTTTCTCTCTTGGTTTTAAGAAATGCTAGAATGCCATTCACATTCTGAACGACATGGTTTGAATTTTTTTCAAACAACTAACACCAGTGTTAGTCAGTTGTATTACCAGTAAAACTGTACCCAACCCCTTCAAAAACTTCGAGAATTTTACCTAGGCTGACATCAGATATTTAAAACATTGACATGGCACTGGGAAAACACCCAGTATTTTGTTCTGCTAACATTCCATCCAAGAAGCTGTGGTTCTTGCTTGGTGGTTTAGAAATAAAATTTTACATCTGATTTGATTATTAATGAAGAGCATACTAGTACATGATTCTCTTCAACTTTTAATTTTACCTACCAAGTTATGGCACACTTTTTTCCCTTTCTTCAACTCTCTTGATGTGTTATCACTCCCAGATGGTTTGGCTTTTTGAAACTTATATATTTTGGGAGGATCTGTATTTTGATGGTGTGCAAAATTTCTTGGGGAGGCACAGAGGGAAGTGAGGAAAATTTTACACAGTCTGTTATTTGTGAAGTATTTTTGCAGAATGTGAAAACTTTAGGTGATCTTGAATTCTGTTTTGTTTGTTTCACTTGATTACTTTCATATAGTAGGTTATATTTCACTTTTTATAAATAAATAATTGAGGAGAAATTCTGAAATGTTTCCCCCCTTTGAAAAAAGTCGAGAAGGCCACATTAGTTTCTGCTAGTTGCCTTTTCTGGAAATTTAGAGATGAAAAAACTCATCAGCTTTCCTAGAGCAGTTTTAGAGTCGTCCCACAGGAGTGTCAGTGGGCTGGAATTGATAGCATTTTCCCATAATATTTTTGTTTTAATAAGGGAGGCAATGAAAAGTTATTGGGATAGAAGGGCTAATGTCATGTGAAAATAATTAGCGCGGAGAAGCAAGAAAATTTGCCCGGTCAACTTATTTTAACATAGCAAACGTACAGTGTGCTGATGGAACAAAAGTCAAAGCCAACGACTTGGGAGTGTATTATATTTCATTTTTACAATAAGATCATGTATGTATGCTCAGCACTGACCTTCTTCAATGAAACCATCTACCAGGGACCCTTGCTCTCTGTATATGCTGACCCCTGAGGAAACTTAACAGACCTTACCCTGATACCTACAAGTTTTGAGAACAAGCAGCGACTCCGTGAACACAAAACACTGGTCAATAATCAGCACCAATCAGTTCTGTTTTTCTATTGATAATCGCCTGCTGGTTGCCCATAATTCAATATGGGTGATATCAAAATATTGGGGAGTTTTGTCTCTGTGTTGTTTGAAGCAACAGCCCAGTGAGAGAGGAGTGTGTATAGTTATTATACTGTGTTGTTAGCTTTCCCTCTTGCCAGGCTGTCATTATATTAACATCATTGGTGAGGGGGGATATACAGCGCGATGGATGTTTTAGAAGTGAATCAACAATATACCTGTAATATGAATATGAAATTTCACATTTTTGCAGATGTCTTCATTTTAATGCCAATGACAAAAATTATATTGCAGTACACCAGTAGATTATTGAAAAATAGTGCAAACTATACCGTCTCTGGGATATACATAGCCCCTTTCTTTTGATTCATTAGTTAGCATTGCCGAGACCTTTTCTGTTGCAAAATTTGCCAGTTATTTCAGTGTTCATTGACTTCAAAAATAATGAAATTACATGGAACAGTGTCCTGCAAATATATTTGGTCAGAAATAATATCAGAATTCCCTTAACTATCCCTAAAATGATACAAACAACCCCAAAAAAAAAAAAAAATTCAGAAGTTTTCCTACCTGACTTGTATCCCCAACTTTCAGCACAGAGCTTGCCACTGAGGGGAAGCTGTTCAACAAAATGTCTCTAGTTATGGACTATTAAGTCTCATTATTAGATCCCATGTGATATTCATAAATGCACCCAGTTCACACGCGCACACAATACTAGTGAGAAGACGCAATTTTAAAATGCAGCAGGGTGAGGATGTTCTATTATGTAATCAGACAATGGAATCATGCACCATTACATATAATGGCACCTGCATGGAGATGCTATCTGACCATTCCCATAGGCAAAACACTTAATATAATACAAAACCCTGCCACAGCATTGATGCTTATTTCTTAAATTGCTATTGTCTGCCAGTGGCCTGATGTAAGCCTCTTTACTGATACAGTGTTACGGCACAGAGCGGCCACTTTTATTAACTCACCTGAGTCCTCTCAGCTCTTAATATACGCTTAGAATATGTACTTCAGTATTTTGTAACAAACTTTAAGCATCTCTCTCAAGAGCCCACTTTAAAACATATTCACTGCCACGCTTGCTCATATTAATATCTCCATAATTTGATGGATCATTATTAGAAATTTGATGACATTTCATATCTGACACAGACATCATGGCTGCCATGTGGTATTGTTATTACAATTAGTGCAGCTCTATTCCTGGTTTGTCAGTCCATCGGAGGGGTCTGCTCATTAATTCCCTTGAAACTCAAGACACAAAGCAGTGACATAATATCCCTCTGCCATGCACAATATGTTCAGGACAGATACAGCCCACATGGTGGTTAATTGCTGTAATAGATTCCAAACCAATGAACTCTTTAAGCATCGATAAGATTTCCATGCCGTCATCTTCATTGGTTCTGGCAGCAAGTTTTTTCCTCCCCCCCCTTCCCTCTCCCCCTCCATCCCCTGTGGTTAAAACGGCTTATTAGATATATGAGATTGTGCAATTCAATAATTGAAGTTGATTTTAAAACAGATGATAATCATGATTTAGATAGCATCAAACATATTGGTTTTAAGAAGTTGAATCCCAATGGAGATTGCTCTTTTCTAACAGTTCACTGCTCATTGTGGATAGAAAAGGGCCCTTGAGGACATTTATGCTCACAATGGACAGCTTTTGTAATATCTTGAAATAATCATTTCTGTGATTTTCAATTTGCAGATGAATTATTGATGTAAGATCTTCTACACAGGCTAATCGAATATAAATAAGTCTATGTTAGTACTCAGGAAAACCCGCACTGGCTGCAAAAACTTGTGTTGTATAATAGAAACTAATGAAGAGCCAGTAAATTACCCATGCCGGTATATTTCAATAGGGTTTGAACTTACAGTTGCAGGCTATTCATAACCAACTGACCTAGTGGTCCCATAGATCAGTACGGATATTGGATCCGACTCCCATTTGAATTGTGAGTATACAATGCCAAGTCTTGATGATCGAAGTCCGTTACTTAATTTCCTTCATCAAATATCATTTTCTTTTGAACATTGCTATGTACTGATTGAAATGTATTGAATGATAAAAACTTACCTATGTCTTACCTTACATGTAGGTAAAGTATCAATATATAATTCAACAAATCAGAAAACAACCAGTGTAAACAAAAAATCCCTGGAAAATTTATCATCTAAAACTCCTGGTCAAGTGCACTCTAGTGACAGTGCATTTGGACTAAGCATGGCAGAAACCTTTGATCTTAGAACAGGGTTGAAATAAATCATTACTAGCTATTACCAAACATGGTAGGTTTAATTAACTCTTTCCTGTTGTTGCTCTTAAGGAAAGTTCTTAATAATTCATAACAAGCAAATTCCAATATACAAGGGTGCCGCTATTTCATTAGGAGAAAACGCCTACAGGTAGTCAAGAGGCAGAATTCTCTTCACCTTATTTATTGTTCGAAATAGCTCGGTTATGCCAGAAATCAGTTCATGCAAGCTGCTTTTCAATTGGAGGATAGGAGCTGTGAGCTGACCGTGCTCTTTACATATATATATATCTTCTGAAATTTATTATTTCAACTGACATATTTTTTTTTCATTTTGTAAATTACTTATCAGTTAATATACACTGTTTTTTGATAGAGCTTCTGTGGTCACTTTTATATCCATAATATAAAATCTTTTACAACTGACATGATGCTGAACCTTTATCTCTAAAACAATTACACTGGCATACCAACTTTACACTGAATTCTAATGTACATCTTTGCATCAGTTTATCAGATGCAGTCTTTATGAAATCAACAGATGTTTAACTACCCTATAGAGACAACTATCACTCTATCATCATAAAGAACAGACGGACCCTTTTAAAGTCAGTAAATTGACCATTACCAGTACCTAAGTAGCCTACCTGAGATTGTAATCTCCTGCTCACTAAATTTGATTACCTGTAGTCAATTCAAATAGATGTTATCAATTACCTAATATACTACTGCAGTACATGTACATAGTACCTCAATAAAGCTGGCCATGTTTGACTTGGTGTTTTAACTTAGTTGATTATGGAATGCCTTCGTAGTTCTGAGTAATTGTGAAAATAATAATAAGATCTACCCCCAGCTCACCAACTTTTGTATTAACAGCTTCACTAATAATGAAATAGCATTTACATGTATGTGTCAAAATTGATTAGAACAAATGATGAATTATGTTTTATCTCTTAGATACATTTAATATTGTTAGGAAAAAGTTGAAAACAGATGTATTTCCAGGAACACTGGTTATGAACAGTGAATTTCTTTGGCAACTTATCTTTTGGCTTGTGGGGGAAATAGTTCATAGTACTAGTACATGTAGTAGGGGCCAGGAATTCCAGACAGCTTTCACTAAACTAATGAGGACATAATACACGTTTTTTTTCTCAAGCTGACGTGCTTTGGCCATGAATGAACAGACAGAGAAAACTCTTCCAGCATTCATTCCCACTATTAGGA